GGTCCTTGGTGCCCCCTGCCTGCCCTGTCAGCTCCTTCCGCACCACTTTCCCAGGCCCCACTTCCGACCCGGGGCCCCAGACGCAGCCCCGAGAGTGCCGTCGGGGCAGCCCGCAGGCTCTCCAGGGGGCCTCGGCGCCCGGCCGCGTCGCCGTCCCCGCACCCTCGCTCCCCGTGCTCCCGGTTCCGGTTCCGGTCCGCGCTCGGGACCACGCCGCCCCGGACGCGGCTCCCCGCGCTGCCGGGTGCCGAGCCTCTCCAGCCCCGGTCCCCGACTTCTCCCGCCCCGGGCCCCGCAGCCCCTTCCCCCGGTACTCACCCCCCACCCGGTACATGTTGGCCGCCATGGCCGTTCCCGCCGCCGCCTCCGGCCGCACAAAGGGGTCCGGGAGGCTCGCGGGGGCAGGGCTCGGCTCGAGGCGAAGCCCCGAGCGCGGGGCTGGCGCTTCGCGGAAGTCTCGGTCGGGCCCGCGCAGCCGGCACCTCCGCTGCCTCAGCCGTCGCGGTTCATCCCGGCCCGCGCTGTCGCCGCCGCAGCTACCGCCTCACGCCCGGGACGCCGAGGCCAGCGCCGGTCCGCTCGGCCTCTTCCGGAACAAGCTCGGCTCCCGCCGGACCGGAGCCAGGTTCTGACTCTCCCCGCCCTCGCCGAGCCCCACCAGACGTTGGGATCTGCCGGCCGCCGGGAAGGCTTGCCCTGCCCGCCTCGGGTTTCGCCTCCTTCCGGAACACCTTCGGCCGATCCGGAGAACAAGGCCCGGCGCTCGGCTCAGGTCGGAGAGCGAGACCCCAGAGATCGGCTACTTCCGGAAAAGGTTCGGCTCCCTCCGGCCAACCGCGGCCCGGCGCTCGGTTATTTCCGTTGCAGCTCGGCCCCTCCTCCGAGGGCGGGAGAGGTGTTGGGCTTAACTCTCTCCTCGCCGGAGCCCCTCAACTCCGCCTGCGGCCGCGAAAAGACTCGCGCGCCTTTGCGCTCCGCCGGGTTATTTGCAAGCGGCTTTGCCTGTTATTTGCATGAGTGGCCTACGCTCCCCTACTCCTTCCAAACTCCTCTTTTCCTTCATCGCCACCCCCACAGGGCCCCGGAGGCGCCCAGCCGCGCCCCACAAAAGGACTGGGAGGCGACTTTGCTTTTGGTTTATTGCCCCTCAGCAGGCGGCAGGAGTCAGGGCCCAGGCTGGGGCTGCCCGGCTCAGCCAGCGGGTCTCTACAGTGTGTGCGGGGGTGCCGTTCGCCCCCTCCAGGGAAACGCGCGATCGGGAATGTCTCGAAGTCGAGGAAAAGTCGGCCCCTGGTCCTGGGGGTTTCGGGTGGGCGGGGCCGCGCCGCAGGGCCGGTGGCTCCCCTCCGGCAGCGGTCAGACATCGAGAGAGGAGGCGGGGGACAGGGAGGGGGTTCGAGAGGGCGTGGCGGGCGCCGGCCCCGCGCCCCCAGCGCCCAGCACTCGCCACTGGAAGATGCTGGCGTCCTTGCCGCCCAGCGAGATGAGGTGCGAGTCGTCGTGCGTGAACCGGACGCTGGTCACGTGGCTGCCGTGGCCGCCGTACACGAGGCTCGGAGCCTGGGCGGGAAAGAAGACCGAGCTGCGGTGGCCGGGGAGCCCTGGACCCGGCCCCCGCCCGCCCGGCCCCAGAGGCCCCTGGAGGCCTCACCTTGGCGCGCGCGCACGGGTACTGGAACAGGTGCACTTTGCAGAAGTCGTCGGCCACGGCCACCACTCGCTCGTTGTGGGAGCGGCACAGGGAGTTGATGTCGGTGCCATCCGAGCCGTCTGGCCACACGCCTAGCACAGCAGCCGGCCTCAGTATGGCCTCCTCCCCGCGGCCACCCACGGCCCAGGCTCCGCACCGTTTCCGGCGGTCAGGCAGCCGAGGCCGCCCACCGGCCGCGTTCCAGGCAATCCTTCCCGGTCCCGGCAGCCACTGAGGGCCAGAGGGGCCTCCTGGGCTGGATCTGCCGGTTTCTTGACACCCACCCCTCTGACACATGCCCAGCATTCCGAGCCCAGTGCGGGCTCCACCTTACCCCGCACACCCCACCCCACCCCACCCCGCAAGGTTCAGAGGGCCTGCTCACCATAGACATGGAAGCCCAGCACGCAGGTGTAGGTGGCCCACTCCCGGTCTCGGCTCTCATAGCGATTCCTCAGCAGCTTGCAGCCTCCAGCCACGTCCCCTGGGGGGAGGGAACCCACCCAACTCAGCTCTCCCCCTGCCCTCGGTTGGCAAGACACCGACCCACCGACCCACTGACCGGGAAGGGTAGGTTGGAAAGACTAACTTGAGGTAATAGCATGTGATCTGGTCACCTTGGTAGCCCTCAGCCCAGGGCAAAACCCAGCCCCATGCACTTCCTGAATCCTGAAGTTCTGAAGTTCCCCTAACAGCTTCTCATCAGTTCTTCCTCCCTGGCTAAGTCAATTCCTCCACACCTGCTGAGAAACTTGTCCTAAACAATCTTGTCCTAGTACATTCCTCGACTCCCTCAAGTCCTCGTGGGGAAAGGCATGGTGTAAAACTGTGTAGGGTTTTTCAATTCACAATATTTCTCCTACCTGAACAATTCCAACTCCACTTCAGCCCCATCTCTACCTGGAGCTGCCTACATACTCTTCGTCCCCTCCCAACCAGGAGCCTCCCACCCCGAAACAAAACCCAGCCGATTACCCATTCCCCATGCTTTCCCCTACAGCCACTCACAGTAAAGGATCTCATAGTCCCCAGAATTGGACATGATGAAATTCCCATCTTTGGACCAGTCAAGGTGAGTGATGAAGCTGGAGTGACCCTGGGAGCAAGGGTCAAGAGACTAAAAATGTAGCTACCATTTCCCATCCCCAGGTCCCCCTTAGTGCATGAGAGCCCTTCCAGTTTACCTGCTATGGCAATGCCCCACCCTCCACCCCGGCTTCCTCACCACACAGCGGCCAAAGCGGCTGGACTTGGCACCCTCACTGGAAACGCTATAGATGTAGATCATGTTGTCATGGGAACCGATGGCCAGGTACAACCCATCTATAAAGACAGTCACTCAGAGAGGGAAGGGCCAGGGACAGGTCTGGGTCCAGGGTGGGGGTGGCTCCCACCTGGGCTGTACCGGACCACTGAGAGCTGCTCATTGCCATCAGTGACATCAGACACGATCTCTCTGGTCTCTGTGTCCAAAACCAGCCACCTGGAAGGGAGGGGGTGGAAAGCAGGCGTGAGGTTACCCATCCTGGGCAACGTGGGGGTTGGCAAGTTGGAGAGCGTCAGAGACGCCAACAGAAAGGCTGTGATGTAGACAGGTTGCCGCTGCATTCTAATGCCAGGAAATCGGAAGACGCTAAGGAGAGAGAAAGGGTGAGGGGCTTCTGATGCCTCTAAGAAAAGAATACAGGAACCTTGTGGAGTCTGTAAGCCTGTCACTTCCCTGTGTCAGTCTCTCCCATGTCCCTCCTATCCCCCACAGCTTTTCTATCCTAAGCTGCCACTCCCAGGCTCAGAGGGGAGAGTGGTTGGGTGTGATGACAGTTGTCACAAGCAGAGCAGGGGAGGCCTGGGCTGCAGAGAAAAGCACTGAGAAACGAGAAGGTGCGGTTGGGGCTCCCGAGCCACACTCCTCCCCTGCCACCCCATTACCAGGGGCCCTTCCCAAAGCTCCTGCTTTCCCCTCCCAGGAATCCTGGCTCCTCTCACCTCCCTGTGTTCAGTCCTACGGCCACAACTGCCCCGCTGGGGTGGAAGTCAGCACAGAGACCAGTCTCCTGGGAGGGGGGAGAAGGTGAATTCAGGAAGATGCCTTTCTAGTGAAGGTTCCTGGACAGACACCTCGTCATGTTGGTAACACCAAAACCTTCTCCTCCCAAGGATGAGACAGGGAGGAGAGGGACAGTAGACCTGGGGTGGAGGCAGGGTGTCACTGGAGCCTAAACTAGGTGATACTCAACATATTTAACAACCAGAACTGAGCTAGGAGGCTGTGCCAGAGATTAACCATTTGTTGCTGGATCAAAGGGAGGTCTGGGGGTTTGGGGGTAAGGGGGAGGGGACAGTGCCTAGGGGACACTGGAGGCATCTGCACAGAAGAATGCAGATTTTGGTAGCCAACACAGCCATACCAGTACAAAGTGGCTGCCCCTGGGGAGAAGGAAGAGGGATGCTGGGGAAGGAGTGGTGTCCACAGAAGCCATGGTGGGTGTGGCACTGGGGATCCAGGGACACGGGGCTCTACCTTGAGGTCAATGCTCCAGGCCAGCGCATGGCCCTCCCCATCCCACAGGCACAGTTGTCGGTCGTGGCCACAGGTGAGAAAACGGTTCTGGAAGGGATGTGTGCAGAGTCCCCAGAGCTCATCCGTGTGACCCTGCAGCAGATCACGGGCTGTTACCTCTGCCCCTCCTCAATAGCACTTCCCACCCTCCTCCCTGGAGCCCTTGGCCCTCCAACCTGGATTACAGGGGAGAAGCCCTGCGCCAGATCTCCCCTCAGCAATGCATTCTTCGTGGTTCCCACCAGCAGCTCGGAGCCCAGCCCCTCAGCAATGGCCCGCACAGCCCCAAAGTGTTCAGGAATCTGCAGAACGGTGGCATGAAGTCAGGGGCCCCCTGGCCATTCCTCTCCCCACTCCCTCCTTCGACCCCAGGCTAGCCCTCACCTCAGCCTCCTGGAGAGCCACCAATCCCGGCCCCCACTGGACCAGCCGGCGGTCCCGTCCGCCACCACTCAGTACAGTCCCATCCCGCCGGAGACACAGGGCAAAGATGGAACCTTCGTGAGCATGGGCCTGGGCCACAATCCCATAGGTCTCTGTTGGCAAAGTCACGAGTGGGTCATGCTGTGGGGGTACAGGGAAGTGGGGAACAGAGGCAGCCTTGGCCGTCACGACACAATAATAACTCCTAGCTGCTGAGCACCTACTGAATGTGATCTCTGATCCTCAGCTATTAGTTTACCCAGTTTACAGACTGAACAACCGAGGCTCAAAGAAGTGAGGTAACTTCCTAAAGGCCACACAACTAGTGGCAAAACTGGAGTCTGAACCCAGGATCTGGCAGACTCCAAAGCCCCAGCCGTGTCGCCCCTACCCTTCCAGCCGGCCTTTCTAGAGGGTCCACAGAGATCTATCAATATTCATGGTTAAAAAAAAAAAGAAAGAAAAAGGAAAATCCTCTGTTTCCCACAGACACCCTCTGGGATACTAGACTTCCCAGGTGCCACCCCCAACCACATACCTTTGGCCCCACCCCTGCCTGGGGTCCTGGCATCTGAGAGGCTCCGTCCCCAGGTGAGAATGTTCCCCTCTGAGTCCCCAGTAAGAATGTCCCCATCCGGGAGGAACACAAAGCAAGGGACAAACTTGGGTTTCT